ATATATATATATATATATATTATAAATGATAGGGAAATAATTAATAATAGAACTCGTATCAAGAACTTAAAATTAATTTTAATGAAATTGAATATATAATTTATATTTATTAATATGAATACTATCTACTGAAATGGACAACTAGAAAGAAAAGGAGAGGATAAAAATTTGTATTTTTTAGCGAAAAAATTGTATTTATAATATGATAAACCATTTTTGTTAAATATTTTCCTTAATTACTACAAACCTTAGCTATTGTACAAATAATTAGAAGGTCAAATACCTTACAAAGATATTTAAGATATTTATTGTTAAACATGTGAATGAAGCAGTACACTTCCAATTTAACTAGTAATTTAATTTCATATCGTAGTCTTAGATAAATAACTTCATTAAATATTTAGATAGAGTTTTGTTATTTACAAAAAAAATCAATTGTTTTCGACTATGTGCTTTATGAAAAAAAATCTTGTAAACTTGTGATGTTATGTTGCTAGTGATTTTTTTTATAATTATATTATTAGTATAAATTTATTGATTTTATCAATGATTAATTTTGTTAAAAAGATTTATTATTATTTTAATATAATCTCTCATTTTAATCATATTTTTACACATGGAAAATTTAAACTCGAGATTTTGCTTTTGAAGAAACTAAATTCAATACTATAAAAAAATAAAAATAAAACTTGTTGGTTGACTGCTTGTGACTTTTATAAAGTTTGGCAAGGCACATAGACCAATAGGAAAATTTATTAATGGAATCATTTAGTGATATATTAAAGTGCATGAATTAATGAATGAGGTGCTGCACCTTTCATAGTATATGGAACCGATGCATGTTGGAGTTGGTAACATTTTATAACCTTGTCAGAACCAAACCGAAGTTTCTTTCAACAATTCAAACAAAAACAGAATCTTATCGTTGAGATTGGTGAGACTCGGTGTTTTCCTGCCCTTTCTGTGGAGACTGAGAGAGAAAGAGAGAAAAGCCATGGAAACTTATAAACAAACATTATATAAAAATTTAGATGAGTTGAGTTGCATGCATTCATCGATCAACAAAGACTTTCAAGAGTTAAAGAACATTTGCAGAAGAATTTACATATTATGTATTAACAAAATTCTCACCTAAACAATGAAAATCGAAATCAATTTCTTGTTAAACATGAGTCTGCTTCTTACTAATTAAACTAATTTGTATAGGTGAAATCTAATATATTATTTCTTTCATTCCAACATTGGAAAAATATTTTGAAATGAATGATGTTTATCATTTTTTTAATGTAATATTAATTTTTTTTTAACTTTTTCTTTTCATAAACTATTCAACCACTACTTAAAAGTAATGCATTAATTGATATAACAAAATATTTTAATAAAATTGTATTAAATTAAAGTGATATATTTATTGTGGCTGTGGTTATTACTCTGCGTAAAAATTATAAATTGTTGTCATTGTGAGATGATAGAATTACAATAAAAAGATAATCATGCCTAAATGAGTATTAAGATATGATTATTATGAGAAAGTGACATTTTTATCAAATAAAAACTCATAATTGACTTTGGTTCTATAACCATAGAGACTCTACCTGACACACATTCGACGTTTCAAAACTTGTGCTCAATATCATCCAAACAAAAAGCCACTGACTTGATCATATCCAACACAATCAAGTCAAAGAGCTCCTCGATCAATCACATATGGCATCTCTCATTCCAAGCTCAATATGACCAAGTCAGAGAGCTCTTTATTGACCCATGCCTAGAGTTACCAATCTGTTGGGATACAAACAAAGTCTCACATCGTTCAAACAAGAGGATGAACATGGGCTTATATACACACAGTTGTCTCCATTGGTTAAGAGGCCTTTTGAGTGATGTCCAAAAGCAAAACCGTGAGGGCTTAGGCTCAAAGCAGACAATATCTTATCAATGTGGAGACTCCCTATCTTGAGCCACAATGAAAATTTATTTTCACTTGGCAAAATCTCATTTTGGCCATAAACCTGCAATTAACTAAAAGGGACCAACATGCAATCCAATTTGTAACAAGCATACAACATACACAACTCAATTACAATCAATATATCAACATGCAACCATTGGAAAACAAAGATCATCAATTTCTACTTCGAAGAAAGACCTTTACAAACAACACTTTAAACCAACTTCTACATCTCATGAATTCCAATCACTTTCAACAACAAAATGAGGAATACATACAGGAATCAACAATCAACATCCAACTACATTCATTTAACAAATTTTCCTTATCTTAAATTGCTCAAAAATCAAGGGATGAGGAAGGAAGATTGAAAGTCTCAAGGGTCGACGTACTAGTTTCTCCACTTGAGATTCTCAACCTTTGAGTCTTGAATCTCCAATATCTCAACTCTACTCAACTACTGGGAAGGGTTAGCAATTTTAAGGAATTTCGAAGAAGAAAGAAATCTCCCTAATTTTAGAGTTCCTCTCTCTAAATTTCTTAAGATATAAACTTATGAAATTTACGTCTTAAGAAAAATCTTATATACTTTTCCTAAACTTTGTTAACTTGACCCTAATTAAAATTATTTTAACAATAACTTAACTCTTAAGGATCCCTTAATCCTTAGAGTTCTAAAACAACAATAAATACAATAATTCAACAATTAATCAATAAAACTTAAAAACACATGGTGTTACAATTAATATATAGATCATTTCAACATAATTTGTTTAGTATTATAATTTTTTTTCATAATAATGAATCTAAAAAAAATACTAAAATATATATAAGCAACTTATACCAAAATTTTAACACAAACAACCATTCATCTCTTCCTTTCACAAAAAAAAAAATAAAAACAATTTCAAAAAATACTTTTTAAAAGTATAATTTTTTTTGAATATATAT